AGGGGGTGGAGGCCCCATCCCTGGAAGCATTCAAGGCCAGGTTGGCCGGGGCTGTGAGCAGCCTGATCTGGTTAGCGGTGTCCCTGCTCCTGCAGGGGGGTTGGGCTGGGTGACCTCTAGAGGTCCCTTCCAACCCAAACCATTCTATGATTCTATGATTCTATGATCTGTCACCGTTCCAGGTCACAGAGGCCACGGCATCGGTAGTTTCTGGGGTTGCTATTTCAGTCTGCCCTGCTGATGCCTTTTCTCCCCCCACCCTTCCCTGCCAGCTGTGTTTCCCCAACCTTTCCCTTGTGCTCATACTCGAGTTAGTGCAGCCTGCTGAGGATCACACCAGGAAACAAAACCAGCTCAAGAGCAATGGTTTGTTGGTGGCTTAGTTCACAGGCAAACAAGAGCTGGTGTATCACCCCGCTCCTTGATAGCAAGGGCTGACAGACACTGGGGGGAGAGAGAAGCAGAGAAAGTGCTGCCACTACCCCTTTTACCCAGGGAGTGCCTGAGCCAGACACGGGGATTCAGTCCTCGTGGCCTCAACAGGGTCTTTTCCATAAAAAGTCCACTGTTTTCCCTCCCTCTCCCTGTATCTTCTCTCACATGGAAAATCCAGTCTTTACAGAGTCAGCAGGGCTGTGCTTTTTTGGGTCATTTAATTTTAACCCAACTTCTCTTGTTTTTCTAGATAAGGAACAGACACAGCAGAAATGGATACAGACCTCAGGTCATGGTTGCGAAATGCCGTTTGCTCAGGCTAAGCAGCCAGCCAGCCCAGAGAAAAGTGGGAGGAACCACGAGAGGCAGTTCCAGTCAAAAACCCTTGCGTGCAGACAACCCACATGATGTGCAGACAAAACTCAGTTTGCAGCAGAGGCGATGAATTTTGGGGAAAGCCTTCCAGGAACAATCCCAAACACATGCCTACTTGCCTGGTAATAAAGCTGAGTGTGAAGTCTCCACGTATTTGTCCACGTGTCAGCACCCGCTGGAGATGCACGCACAAGGATTTGCCCAGGAATTGTTCTGCCCTGCTGTGCCAAGTTTTCTTATCCACCCGCACTGTGCTTTTAAGCAGACACGCCAAAAAAAAAACCCAAAACACTGGCAGGAGCTAAGAGCCTCAGCAGCTCTGTTTTAATTGTGCGCAGCGTAGAGTGAGCTCACTTTTGAGGCAGGGAAAGCTCACAACTATTGAATAGGACAGATTCAAAGCAAAAGCTTTCGATGGGAATTTCATCACGCCGTCCAGTGTCCACACCAGGCAGGAGTTCCCATGCCACCCAGCACATTTTGTTGTGCTGCAGCTCATTGCATTCAGCTGCAGCCAGACCCGCACCGAAGCCATCTTCCTTCTCGCACCCCGGCTCACGGGACACCTCCATCCCTACAGCACCTTCTCTCAGGGAGGGGCTGCAGAGGTTTAAACAGATGTTTCTACTGTGTCTTCTCTGGGAGCTTCACCTCTGTTTTGGGACTCTGTTACATCTTCAAAAGCCCCCTGGAAAGCAACCCTAACAGAGAGCGTGAACCTCTTTGCACAGCTCCCAACCACAAAGTAAATAACAGGGTTGATACTGCTGTTCACGCAGGCAAACGGGAGAGAGGCATCAAAGACAAACACAGAAAAATCGAACAGTCTTAGCAAGAGCCAGTAACCAAAGTCAGCAGTGAAGAAGGGGAAGAAGAAGACAGCTAGCAGGGCCACAACACAGAGCTTCCCTGGGGGATATTGCCATGAACAGCACAAGACCCTGACAAGCAGGATTAGGCCAGAAAAAATCAGGATCAGCACCGATAAGAGGTAGCTCGAGACGAAGACAATGAGCGCCGCGGGGCGGAAGTGGAGGGTCACGGTGAGCAGGAAGGAGAGGGCCCAAAGCAGGGCACACACGAGCACTGGCAAGTGCTGGGAAAGGTGGCAGGGGCAGCGAGCCGGGGGGAGGATGGACAGAGACATCATGGCACTGAAGGCTGTCCGGAGGTAGATGCTGGTGGTGAAAGTGAAGAGGATGGTGGTGTTCAACAGAGTGGTCATGTCCCGTGAGCCCAGGCTGTGACAAAGGCTCTCTGAGCTGTAAAATATCACAAGGGCAATGGCAATGGAGAGGAGGAAGGTGAGGTCGGCGATGGCCAGGCTTAGGATGTAGATGATGGTGGAGTTTCTGCAGACGCGGGAGCCGAGGAACCGGAGGACAGCCCCATTCCCCACCAGCCCACAGAGGCAGATGAGCATCGTGGCAAGGACTTTGCTCAAGTCACCGGCTTCACAGTCAGTCCAGTTGTAGCGATCATCCTCATCCTCCAGCAGCCCATCATGCCAATTCCTGTTATATGCTGTCCTGCTTGGCTGGCTCCAGCAAGCAGGGCCGGCTCTTTCTGTGGCAGGGAGCAATGTGCTCATTACGAAATCCCTGCTGCTTCTTCTTCCCCCTTGCACAGCTGGAGGGACAAGATGAAACAGAGCCATATGTTAGTGACTGCTCTCCTCCACGCCAGGCTTTTCAGATCTTTGCAGCCATGCCCCAGCTTGCATGTGGAGGAGCCCAGAGAGAGACGAGGGACAGGAGAGATGGGAGACGGGTTGTGGGGAGGTGGGTATGAAACGCCTGGTACAAGAGCATGTACAGAGGTGGAGCAATAGCTAGGGAGATGCCTCTGTCCTGGCTTTGGACAGGACAGATCTGGAGGAAGGAAATAATAAGATGGCAAAGAGCAAGTGGGTTTGAGGGTGGATCCGATATGGATTCTCAGGTGCCTAATATTACAATTGATATTACTAAGCTCCTGGGTTCTTTCAGTGGGATACTCATTTCCTTATTCCCCAACCACCTTTTTCTACAATATTTATGGGTCTTAATATCCTGGAGACCATTATTCCCCAATCAGGTTTGGTGAAAATTGACCAACAGGTTCAAAACCAATTAGGGGAGGCACTGATTAGGCTGAAAAAAACCCCCACCCAGAAGTCTAACCTTTTCCTCTCACAGCCTGGAGAGCTTCACTGGAGCAGGCGTGCTGCAGACTCACATCACCTCGCACTCGCCAGCTGCCGCCCCCATGATGGGATCTTCATGAGATTTCCTGGAATTATCACTTGGCAAACTGCACCAAAGCGTGCCTTGGTGAGCCTATGCAGCATCCAGCGTGGGGTCTTTCTCATGTCCTTTCACAAATCACTTTTCACGGCGTTAGCCAAGCAGGTCATGTTCTCAAGGCTTCTTGCAAACAGGGAACTATTTCACTGCATTTGACAGTATCAGGGTTTTGGTTGTAATCTATTCTTGGCTTTGTACAGGAAATGACTAAGAAAAAACTAGGCCTATGGGAAAAGCAGATTGTCTCCGTGTCAGGTTCCTCTTTCATTTCATTTTAAAGCAACCCCAATCCCAAAATATTCGTATCTTTGAACTGGCGGAACTTTTCTCCTGTCGTTCCAGGGGTGTATCTTTAGGACCCTGCACTACAGGCTTGGCCTTGCTCCAAAACTTCTCTTTCTGATTCAGATCTAGGTTTGCCACTTGTATACCACAATTTCACAGTGATACTTGACCTTCAAATGCACAGTTTCCAAGAGCATGCTACTATGTGCATCAAGGAGCTACCTGAATATTAGGATATGTGCATGAACCAGAGCACAGGAAGATGGCGGAGAGATGACTTAGGATTTCAGGAAAATGGTTTTTTCCTAAGGAGAGGTGAATCCATGCTGCTCACTTGGCTTTAGCCATCTAAAAGTTAAGGGTTTGATCTGAGGTGTCTTCTACGCTCCTTTTGCAGTCAGTCAGCAGCCTACAACGGTTTTCTCAGACAGGCCCGTATAATTTCTAGAGAGCTGGAGTTAGATGGGATGATTCCTACCCAGACTGACTGCAGTGAAAGTGAAATGCAGGCAGCTCCCATTGCATCTGGGAGCAAGGGGTGCTCCTGCCAGGAACTGACACGCGTGGGGACCCCTGGACCAAAACCACCTCCTCTATCCCTCGCTGATGCTGTGTTTGTGTCCCCCACTACAGAATCTCACATCCCCTCATCAAGCCAACCCTTTCACATGCAAACAGATCGTGGTAAGGAAAACATCAAGGTACACCAGCACAACGCTGTGCAACACGGAGCTCGCTGCCCGATCTATTGTCGTGCTCCACAAAAGAGCAGAATTACCCAGGGTTTCCTCAGCTTCTGCTTTCATGGGCAACATCCTGAGCACGTTCACCTAAGATTTTGATTTCCAACACAAGATTTACAGATATCAGTTATTTGTTTCTATCAGGGTCAGGCTTGTATGTGTTCAAAGGAAGCTATGTTCTGTAAATATTGTGGCTCTGGTAACAGTCGTTTCTGTGTGTCAGGAAAGCTAATAAAACCATCTGGCAGGCAGAGCTCAACCTCCTCGGGCTATCACCTGCAAGAGCCTTCCCATCCTCTATTTCTGTCTCTTTTCTTGGGTCTGCCCTGCCAGTTTGCTCCATGGCCTTCACCACCCCGTGCGCAGAATTGCACTGTCCAACAGCCATCAGCCCCTAGCTGTCTGTCTGTCCATCCTCTTGTCCTAACTGGCACAATGCTAATCACCGGCAGCCTTTGCCTCTTTGCCTGTCCCTTCCTGCCTCCCCGGTGAAATCCTCATGGCAGGGTGAAGGTTTGGCTGCTGACTGGTGCTGCCAGCTCCATCAGCCAGGCTGAGATGGGTTTTCTCTGTCAGACTGTGGCACAGGAGGACATCAAGCCAGAGGGAGCTGAAAACATCATTTCTGTTCCTCACCATCATCTCCTCCGGTCTGCAGGCTTTTGAGGATCAAAGTCATGAGTGGTCAGTGCTTTAGTGTCAAGCACCAAGGTCCCAGAGAGGGGAGAGGCAGGAAGAGTTGGGACTTCCCATGCTGGGAAGCAGACAAAGGCTCAGGTCAGACCCCGGGAGTGTGGCTGTGATAACCCTGGAGAACAGGAGAACATGAGGCAGGACTTTCTGGACCACATCATTTCAGCATTGTAAACTAAAGGGTAGGGTGAGGGCACTGTCACAACCATAGTTTTGAGAACAAGCAAGGGCACCCATGGAGCCAGCAAGGGAAGAAACCGCGATCACCAGTCAGTTACATGAAAGACACTTTTATTAAAATAACTTAAAAATAAGTTTGAGGTGGGAACCAGCCCTGCCCCTGGAAATCTCATAGAGTGTGGCCGTGTTCTGGAGAACACACAACTATCCACTGCCGGTCCTGCTCACCCAGCTGGGCAAGGACTCTGCTCCTGCGGGTGCTGGCCCGGGGTGCAGGGGCAGGGCTGCCTCTCTCTGGGTTCCAGTCTCCAGCCATAGGGGTTTAGGCAGCAATTCCCATCACAGGGGTCTCACCCACCTCTTGGGAATCTGCCCTATCTTCAAAGACCCTCTGAAGAGCCACTTTGACAGATGCCCTGAACCTTCCGTAGCTCCCAACCAGGACATAAATAACTGGATTGATGCTGCTGTTGATAGAGGCCAGCAACAGGCTGATCTCAAAGACAAAATTAATGTAGACAAAGAAGTTGAGGAAGATCTGGATACTGAGTGGGATGCCAAAGAGGAGGAAGAAGAAAACAGCGAGGAAGATGACAGTGTACAGTCTTGCTGGGTGGTGTTGCCAAGAGCTACGCCTAAGCTTGATGAAGAGGATCACGTTGGAAAGAACCATAAAGGGAGTGAAAAAGCAGAAATTGAGAAACCACAAGGTTCCAAGAACCATCCAGCAGTTTTCAGAGTGACTCAGGTCACACACAAAGTACACCAGCCCAGCAAGCACACAGGCGAGGGCCCACAGCAGGCTGCACATCACGGCTGACAGGAGCTTCGGGCGGTGGCATCGGCACCAGAAGGGCCAGAGGACCCCCACACACCTCTCCACACTGATGGCTGTGAGGAGATAGAGGCTGGTGCTGTACGTGAGCAGAACCATGGAGTGAAATAGCGGCAGCGCCCGCAAAAGCTCTGTCTGAAAGCAGCTGAGCATGGGCATATGATATATGACAAGGAAAGCCGATGTGCAGAGGAGAAAGCAGGTGTCCGCCACAGCCAGGTTCAGGAGGTAGGCGGTGAAGGGGTTCCTCCCGATGCGGAAGCCAAGGAGCCAGAGGATGGCCCCGTTCCCCACCAGCCCACACAGGCAGATGAGCAGCGTGATGCTACCAGTGACGATTTCAGGGATGTGTTCTGTGAAGCATCTGGTCCCATTTTGTCCATCCCCGTAGACCATGCTCGCCGTAGGCACTGGGGACACTGTATGCCAGTCATGGATCATGTTGTTGGGATGTCGGTCTATTTTCCTCCTTTGTCTCTCGTGCTCACCTGGGGAAAGGCAAGAGATGAAGGCAAAATTAGTGACTCTCAGGTCCCCAGTACTGTGAATGTCCTCTGGTCATTCAGTCTTCCCCCCTCCTTCACGAGCTACAACATCTGCAACCCAGAGAATACAAGAACTGAGAAGAAAAAGACAAAAGACAACAGACAGAGGAGAGAGGAGAGGAGAGGAGAGGAGAGGAGAGGAGAGGAGAGGAGAGATCAGAAGGAATAGCAATAGCAATAAGAGGGAAAAGCTTGGGCCCAGGGTGGCAGGAGACAGACAGAGAGCTGGAAGAGGAGCGGAGGGAGAAGGAAAAGGCATGCAGAGCCATTTGCCCTTTAAGAACTGAAAAGGACTGAGGAGATGAACGGGAAGAATGGAAAGACCGAGGAAGAGCAGAGCTGCGTGCCCCAGAGACAGGAGCAGAGCTGGGTCCCTGACCCCTCTCACCAGGCGCAGGGGGGTCCAGTGAGAACAGAGTCCTTGCACAGCGTTGATATCCCAGAGCTGCAAACTCCAGTCCTCTCTGTCAGACTTGCATGTGAAATGTTACAAAGCTGCCATGCCAAAACCCTCCCAGACGAGATCTGGCCACCAGGAACAAGGTAACTCCATGATGAGGTTCCTCCGATGGTCTGTGTGCAGGCTGTGGTACCCTGTCTCTTCCTCAGCTCAAGGCCAAATGGGCCCTGGGACCACAGTCCCGGGTTTCTGCTGAGGGGTGGGTGGCTGAGGGCACGCAGTCGTGCCAAGGCTTAGTCATCACTTCTGAAGTAGCTTGCTGAAGAGTCACCCTCACAGGACGAGTGTTGCAGACCGATCTGCTGGTTGCTTCAAACGCTTCCTGTTTGCAAACCTGCCATCGTGTTGGGCATGAAATTATCATTTTCCTTCTCATTCACTTCTCTTCTGCACCCAGCTGCAGCATCCCTCAGATGTGTCGCGGTTCCCATCTGTGTGAATGCCCATTCTTTGCTGTCACACAGAAGCCACCAGCTCCCCATCAACCCCAGGGAAATGACGTTCATCGTAGCACCCACTGACTGACACTTCCCACTTGCAAGAGCTGAGCTGGATGTCTCCATCACCCCTTGCTGCGGGGGGGTGGGAGGGAAGCAGGACGCTGTGACTCATCCAGCCACCGCACCCCGGGGACACCGCAGACCGCTGGACCTGCCCTCCTCTGATGCCAGCGAGTGGGTGCCTGCCCTGTGCCCTGTCCTCATTTCTCACCGCTGCTGAGGTTGCAGGACACAGCATGAGCCCTCGGCGGGGACTGTTGCTCACGAGTGATCTCTGTGGGGCAGGACCCTCCTCATGGCTGTGGCCCCATCCCTTTGCCCTGCTCCAAGCATCTTTTTTTGGGGCCAGGAAGATCCGTCCCGCTTCCTTGTGTGCTGTACAGCAATTCTAAACAAATAGCTCAGAAGAAATCACTGGAGATGGCCAGAGCAAGGGGAAGCAAATGCAAATGGCTGGGAGAGCATCCCATCCAGCCCTGTGTTGCAGTCCAGCCCACATCTCCATCCTAAATCCTCCTGCCCTGCAGGCAGAGGGGTGGAGAGGATGCAGCGTGCTGGCGGGGCATTCTGCTTCCCCTAAGACTTCAATCAAGTGGAAAGTGAAATACTCCTGACCTTAGTTAACTGTCCTGATTCGGTATGGAAGCCAGGCTCCTACAAATTCCTTAGTAAATAATATTTATTTAAATGATAATGAAGCTGGACTGAAGGAGAGCTTTGATGCCATAACCCACCCCATCCAGCCCCAGCACTTCAGCATCTCTGGAAGCCCCGGAGCTGCTCCAGCCACCGGCTGGTTTCAAGAGCAGCTTCGGCTCCCCCAGGGTCCGCGGGCTCCCTACACCACCAGGAAAGGGGCCACACCATCGCACTTCTTTTTATATTTAAAGGAAGGTTTCAACAGAAAATGAGATTAACGGAGGGAGTAATAGGACCCATAAGCAGGACGGTGAGAGCCCAGCCAAGCGTAAGGCAGAGGCTGCCGTGGGGATGGTTCCTTTCCTTAATAAATAATGAGTAGTAAATAATAAATACTACTAATAGTAGATAGTAAATAATAAACTGTAGATGGTAGATGATAAACAGAAAATATTTAGTTAGTGAATAAATAGTGGTTTTGCCTGGCTGCCGTTAAAGGGAACCAACGCATTTCTTTTGCACTGGGCTTCACCTGACAGCACGGGCTATCGCCCCACAGCATCTCCTCTGCGCATCGCCCTTTCCTTCCCAAGACCGCCATGGAAAAGACTCGATCAACTTCTCCCCGGAAGACTCTCTGATTTGCTCTGTATCCCCTTTTAGATCACTATGATCCCAGGAAAAAAAAAAAAAAAACAAAACCAAAACCAAAGAAAAAGCAGAAAGCAGGGTTGGGGATGGTCATTTACCATCTCTCCCGTATCCAGTGCCAGCTGGACAAAACGCCAAACCACAGGAACACATGTGTGAACTGAACTTAATCGATGGGCATTCCTCTGCCTGCAGCTCATGCTGCGCCACTGGGGAGGGCTCAAGCGAACTCATTTCCCAACAGAAACATCTTCTTCCAACCCATCTGGCAATCAAAGAGAACCTGTACAAGTAGAAGAAATTTTAAAAAAATGATAAACAATTCTAACAGGGTAATAGCAAGAATGTATAATCGATAACAAAAGACAATCCTTTCACCCAGGCTTGTTTAAATAGCCTAAGAAAAATTCAAGTATCTTAGTGATTTCAAGTGTCCCAGTGAATAACGACGCTGCCAAAGCCTGCAATAATTACCACTGCTATCTCCAGCTCTCACTGCCTTTGCCCCAAATGTCCTTCCAACCACAAGCCCTTTGGACCGGCTCGCTCCAAATTCCCCCTCAGCACACTCCCAGCATCTGCTCTGGCAGTGGAGGAGCGAGCAGGGTGTCCTGGTGCCGCATCCTTCAGGAAGCCCTGGCCCACAGGAGAAATGTGCTGGGCTGGCTGGGAACAGTCACCCGCTGCAGGACTGAGGGTGGTACACCCTGCCAGCTCTGAACCAGCGCTGCTGCAGCGCTGCTCCTTCAGCTCCTCCAAAAATCAGCCCAAAGGTAGTTTTTTCATGTTAAAACAATGTTAGGATTAGCTAAAATCAGTCCTGCCCTGGCAGTAACAGGCTGTGTTAAATGCAATGCAGCTGCACGGCAGCTCCATCTCCCTGTTGCTCCCAAAGCTTCCATGCAGTCAGATTTCCGAGGGCCAGAGGGAAAGCATGACCCTGTGCCTTCTTAATCCATCTTCAGCCCGTGTGAATCAGCACGGGTCTGCAGAATGGTACCTCCCAGCTTCTGCAGCCACAGGGCGTGCTTCACCATCCATCCTCCTCCTCGTCCTGGAAGGCAGAGTCTGCAGGTACCGGAACCGTGCCCAGCTCCAGGCAAGACCCATTGCAGCATCCATAGCCACGAGCGGCATGAGAGAGGCCCAACAGCTCTCACTTCCCAGGCATTTTTCTCACTGAAACTTGTCCAAATATGGTTCTGCTTTTATTCTGGCTTTCCACAGGGTACGAATCTTGGAGGGGTGACCATGACCCCCTCGGCCCTGAGGAGCCCCTGATGCTGGGCAGCAGTTCGGGGAAGCAGCTGGGGAGATGTGACCTGTGCCTGCACTCAGGGTCTGAGAACACCCTGGTGCGCGCTCCTGAAGTCCTTTTGCAGCGACGCAGCACGAACTGATTGCAGCAAAAGGCTGAAAACCTTCTTGAGCGACCGAGGAGGGATGCTGCCTGCTTAAGGGCTGTTTTCTTAGGATAAAAACAGACATCTGGAGCAAAACTCTACGTCAGCTGCAAAATCTTACCAACCCATGTTAATGAGCCACCTCTGCCCCTGCAAGCACTAATGTCTGCACTTGTAGGAGAGAGAAGGTGCCTGCTGATCAGAGAGTGACAAGGAGGCTCCCTGATGACTCCTCCCCTGAGCTTTTTTACTAAATAATGCCTTGTCCTTCGCACGCATGGCACAGCCTTGATGGAAAAGAAACGGCACCAATCCTTCAGCACTTGCACAGGGAGAGAAGAAAAATCCAAAGCCACTAAGTCACAAGAGAAGGGAGCCGTTTCCTCGAGCCCAGAGGATGTGACGCTGGCAGTTAAGAGCCAGATTGAACTGCACAAAATTAGAGGATTTGTTGGTTTATGGAAAGGATCATTCCCTGAGACGTAAGAGCACTTTAAAACACAGTCACAGGTTATGATATTCAGATTTAATTTTGCTGTCTTTTGGGAACTTTGCAAAAGGCTAGTTACAGTTATGTGCCCTTCTGCGCTAGGCTGTCTTCATGGCAAGAAGTTTATGACAAGGAGAATTCCCCTAACCGAAAGGAGTGGCCACGAGGATGGTGCAGAGCCCAGTGACCTCTCACCGGAGCTGAATCACCCCTCCCGCCGCCAGCAGCCACGGAAAGCTGACAGTGCTGATTCTCTGGAAGAGGTTAAACGAGTACAAGATAAAATTGTTTCCTTCTCTTCCTTATAACAAAAACCAAAAAAGCTCCCCCCCCCACCCAAAAAAAAAAAAAAATCAAGAAGAGGGAGAGGGTGATGCACAGCAGGGCTGGCGCACAGGGCTCCTCCACAAGAGCCCTGGGGAGATTTGGGGGTTTTGAAGTTAATTTAGCAAAATCCTGTCCTTTATTGTAAAAAAGACGCCACAGAGAATCACAACAAGCCAAAAGATCCAGCCTAACCAGGTTTCTGCTCCATAGGCGCTTTATCAGGTAAACGAAGAGGCTCAGCAAAAAAACCAAAAGGCAGAACACAGATTCCTATCATCCCCAGGCTAATGCCTCCATCTGCTCCACTGAACTTCACGGGACCAAAAATGGCCATTACTTTATGAATTCCGCTTGCTGGTTTGAAAAGAGAGTGATTTTTTCAGCCACCCTCCCCGTGTGTAGCAGGGAATTCCCAGTCTCTGGCCAGTTGTGATCTGTTTATCTGTATTTCCCAGCTGAGTGGCTGGAGGGAGGTGGATGGAAGCACCGCTGAGCTGAAAGCGGGGTTGAGGTCAGCTCGTCTGCAACCAGCCTGGCCAGGCAATTAGCGGCCAGGGAACAGAGGGCTTCGTCCCCGCTCCCACAGGTCGCTGTTGTGAAGCACTCAAGTACAACTCACAATGACTCAGAATGTTATATTTAGCCTTTACCAAAAAAAAAAAGAACCTCAAAGCCAGCACACAATAATCTCTATGGGAACAAACGTGTCACTTCTAAGAAATCAGATATATGTGCACACAACAACTGGGCAAGGCTGGAGCAGCTCATTGCTGGATCATAGAATCATAGAATCATAGAATGTTTAGGGTTGGAAGGGACCACTAGTGGTCATCTAGTCCAACCCCCCTGCAGTGAGCAGGGACACTGCTAACTAGATCAGGTTGCTCAGAGCCCCATCCAACCTGGCCTTGAATGTTCCCAGGGATGGGGCCTCCACCCCCTCTCTGGGCAACCTGTTCCAGTGTTTTACCACCCTCATTGTAAAAAATTTCTTCCTTACCTCTAGCCTGAACCTACCCTGTTCTAGTTTAAAACCATTTCCCCTTGTCCTAACACAGCTGGCCCTACTAAAAAGACGTTCCCCATCTTTCCTATAGGCCCCCTTTAGGTACTGGAAGGCCGCAATCAGGTCTCCCCGTAGCCTTCTTTTCTCCAGACTGAACAAGCCCAACTCTCTCAGCCTGTCCTCACGCTTAAGGTACCTGAAGAATGAGTAGGAGGTTTCATTCACAAATCCTCTGGGCACTGCTGCTGCACCATGCTACAGCTGCACACAGGCATGTGCCTGCTCCCAGGCTGTCCCCGTCCATCCCATCCCAAGCCCAAAGCCCAGGAATGGCTGTGGTGAAGACGTTCCTTCCCTTCTGACTCCTCAAACTGGAAAGCAGCCCCATCAAAGGCTCATCGTGGTGGCTGAGGGGACCACGGAGGTTTTCCCTGCCCCCAGGAAGCTGGGATGCAGCTGATGGGGTTAGCTAGGGATGAAGGTGGAGAA